CATGTACCCCTCTCTCTCTCTAGATCCCTTCTCTTTATTCTCTGTTCTGTGTCTTTCTCTCTCTGTTTAGCATGTTGGCTATACTTTCCTCCCATGGAGGACACAGAAGCAAAGCACACACTCTCTTTCTACCTTTGTTCTTGACCATAGAAATTTTATCCTTCTCAAGCTTATTGGCAGAAGCTAACCAAGCTTCTTCACCATCCCATTTCTCCAAATTCTCTCGAGGAGGACCCTCCAAAGAAGCCAACAATAATATTCCATCGTTTTGCAAACATACTCCTCACCAAGCAGCTTGTGAATCTATTTTCATCTCCTCATCATCCCAAACAAGTACTACGTATAAAGAAGTCCCTCAAACCCTTGAAAATCTCTTTGTCCAGTCAGTCGACTTCAGCATAATTAAGGCTCATTTGGCTCGAGCCCTTGCCTATAACTTCACCATTTCCCATCGTCAAAATGCTCACCAACCACACTTGCTTGGTGGCATCAACGACTGCCTTGAGCTGCTCGAGGACAGTATCTATTCACTCGATAATGTCATACGCAAGCACGACAAAAGTACTAAGAGCAGCACCTATGGCCATGTTGACGATGATGTCCAAACCTGGCTCAGTGCTGCTCTTACCAATCAAGAAACTTGTCTAGAGAGCCTTGAGAATGCCAAGTCTAAGGTAGACAAGGGCCTCATGGAGACTTCAGCCAAGAACTTGAGCCAATTCATAAGCAACTCCCTATCACTTTTCATGATGACTAGTAGAGCTAAATACACAAACCCTAACGTTGTCGGCGGCCGGAGGCTGTTGTCGGATGATTTTCCGACATGGGTCTCAGGCACGGAGAGGAAGCTTCTAGAAGCTTCTGTGGATGAATTGGAAGCACATGCTGTGGTGGCTTTGGATGGGAGTGGCACGCACAAAAGTATTGGTGAGGCACTTGGGCTAGTGGCCTCATTGGAGGAGAGTGGTACAACTGGAGGCAGATCTGTAATTCACGTAAAAGCTGGGACTTATAATGAATACATAAACATACCCACCAAGCGGAAGAACGTTATGTTAATTGGTGATGGATTGGGGAAGACTGTCATTGTGGGCAGTAGGAGTTCGGAAGCTGGTTGGACAACTTACCAGTCTGCCACTGTGGGTAAGAATTTATATATGAGTTTCCGTCCTCTTTAATTAGGGGTATTTTAGGAATTAAAATGGCTTTTAGGGGTCCATCGATAGGAGAAATTATAGGATACTATGGTAGTACGGTCATATGGTACATTTTGTACACGTGTTATAATATGGGTAGACGACATTATTTATTTTCCCCCCTTTAGAGAATAATATCTATAAATATCTACTTATATTATAACACATATATAAAATATACCACGCGACTGTATTACCGCAATATTCTATAATCTCTCCATCAATAGGTTGAGTATGCTATTCTTTCTTTAAAAGTTTTTATGAGAGGTGGGCGAAATATAAAGTGGGTTGATGAGAAAAACAACAAACCAAAAAAGTTATTAAAATCATATGAAAAAGGTGTTTGCATTGTTACTTCATATAAAACGAATAAATTTTCATAAATTAGTGGATATGGTTTAAATGAATTAATACTGTTAAACTAATTACTAATCAATAATGTTATTTGTACTACATTTATTAAACACATTGTTGACTACCTCTCTAATAGAGGTGGACCCTACTAGTGTATGTGAGCCCCACATGTATTAGAGAGGTAGTTAACATTGTAGTCAGTAAATATGATCCAAATAGTAACAACTTTATTAGGGTTTTCGTTCTTTGCTATGATAGTATGACAACAAAATATACTCTTCTTTTACCTTTTCAATTTATTTACTACATACCTTTTTGGCAAATAAATTTTATTACACTCAAGTAGTTTATCTACTGCGTATTGAAATGGATTTACCTCTAACTGTCAAACAATTTGCTCCTTAAATATTTATATTCCTCAACACAAGGGGGCAAAAATGATGATAAATTTGGACATGTTGTACTTCAAATTAATGACATACAAATGTGAATTTCACATTTCAGCTGCTATGGGTGATGGATTTATAGCACGCGACATAACATTTGTGAATAACGCCGGCTCTGCAAAGGAACAAGCTGTTGCACTCCGAGTTGGTGCAGACAAGTCAGTGATTTTCAGATGCTCCATAGTTGGCTACCAAGACACCCTCTACACTCACTCCAAGCGCCAGTTCTACAGAGAAACCGAAATCTATGGAACTGTCGATTTCATATTCGGAAACTCAGCTGTGGTTTTCCAAAACTGCAACATATTTGCAAGAAAGCCTGCATCATCTGGCCTCAAAAACTTCGTCACAGCACAAGGCAGAAGCAGCCCAGATCAAAACACAGGCATTTCAATCCATAACTGCAAAATATCAGCTGCATCAGATCTTGCTCCAGTCAAATCCAATTATGAGACATATCTTGGGAGGCCATGGAAGCAGTATTCTAGAACAGTTGTTATGCAGTCTTATTTGGATGACTCAATAAATAAAGCTGGGTGGTCTCCTTGGGCAGGTGGGTCTGCCCCAAAGAGTTTGTATTATGGTGAGTACTTGAATTTTGGGCCTGGCGCTTCAACTTCAGGTAGGGTTCAGTGGCCTGGATACCATGCTTCAATTACAACAACTGAAGCTCAAGGTTTTACTGTTGGTGGTTTCATTTCTGGGAACCTTTGGTTGCCTTCCACCGGGGTGTCTTTCGATTCAGGATTGGTTAGCTGAAGGGTAGCGATTTTGGCACTCCTCGTTACCATTGCGACAGTACAAAAATAATTCTCAGTTTGGAGTGCCGAAGCTAAATTATTAGGAGTGACAATCACTACTCTTCGGTGAATTGTGCATTAATATAAGCTCCCATTTGTATTTTGTTAGCTGTGGTGTGAAAGGTTTGGTTACTTATTGATTGTAGTAGAATTGTATAGTGATAGGGCTGGTGTGGATCGGCCTAGGATTGTGGGGTCTTAGTGATTTGGGCCTCCTTGAAACAAAGGAAAAAGCAAACCCACAATGTTAAAAAATTAAGACTCCTTGCTCATGTTTATTTTTAATTAGCCATGTTAATCCAATTTCAATTTCTTTTCTTTCCTTAACTTAACGTTGTGTATCATTATTTGTCTATTCACTAATTTTTCTCTCCTATTATCATTTTCTCATAACCAGTGTGCTTTTCTCCATCATTTTCTCACCATTCGTCTCCTCCTTACCATTGCCTCCATCCAAGGATGGTACATCTCCATCAATTTGACATTAGCATGTTGATGAAGATGTCTACATGTCTCTTTCTCCTGGTTTTGAACGAATGGGGGAGCGTGGTTTGACGAAGAACATTTTCACGAACAAACAAAGCACATTAAAATTGATTGGCACTATGTCATGATTAGAACTTCTCATATTTCCAACACTTGATCAGTAGTTGTTCACCAAACATTTGAGTTTGTCACAATTTGAGACTTCACTTAGAAATTTGGGTGTCTTTAATTTAAACTGATCAAGAAGTCACCAAACATTGATGTAGGATGAAAGAAACGAAAAGAAAAAACAACTTTTGTGAATTGTGTTCTAGACAAGAAGCAGAGGCTGCCGACATCGGATTTAAGGAAAAGATTAAATGTAACACAAACACAAAAGCATTAATTGATAAGCAAGTAATGAAGATTAGATTAGAGAAAAAGAAAGGAAGGTTCTCTCATTAGACAAGTGGGTAAGTGAGCCATGTGCTATCATGTGGTGGTTGGTCCTTCGGTGGGTCCACAACCGCACTTCTCCTACCTCCTATTCCTTCAAATTGAAAGCTACAAACAAAAATGGGCAAAACCATATACAGCACCGAAAATCCCACGCGACTCATTCGCTGGCTTAGTTTACAAATACGCCCTTCTTTATACAATAGCCTCTCTCTTTTAGATAAATTTTTTATAAAATAATTTCTTTAATCAAGAATTGAATTTCGTCTATGGAGGATTTCTGCGCTTACTTAACATCAAGAAATTAAATTAAAAAGTAAGTGGAGCCCATGCAAATTAGGAATTCAATTTATGATTTTGAAGGAATTTAATTCTTGGGTGGGAGGTGGTATTTTAATTCATGGATACTAACCGATTAGGAATTTATGTTTTTTACCCATTATATCCTCACACAATTTTAAAAATCTCCAAATTTGCCATATACTTTAACCCAACAACGAATACATTTTAGTAATTAGTACCACTTCTATCCCAATTCCATACGGTTTAGTAAACAACTTCAATTGGAATCCGAAATTTAACTCTCCTTAATCCATATAGTTTAGTAAACAACTTTAATCAGAATCCAAAATCTAATTTTCCTCAATCCAACTCCTCCTTAATTCAATTCATCTTCATTTCAATTCCTCCTAATCCAATTACGGATTAGTAAACATACCACATTGGGGTGTTAAAAAACCTACCCTTTTTTTTGTGAGAAAAAATGAGAGTGTATTATTAAAACAAAGTACAAACTAAATGAAGGCAGACATTGGCCCAAAGGATTAAACGAGCAAGCTTTAGACATGATGATTTGGTCATTGGAATAACCAACAGCCTACTTGTTTGCTATCGCTCTCTTGCTCGTATTTAGTCTTGGACAGAATTTACCAGCAACCTACCTTCCTTGTGAAACTAGTTAGAAAACTAACTTATTTAAATTGGAAATCTCGATCCACATCTCAACTATAGCATATTATGAACTTGATTTTGTCCGAAACAAGTTTGTTATCTTAAAAAAAATAATAATAATAAAAAAATTATAGGTAGTCTAAAGAGTGTTTCTTTTTTTCCTTTTGAAAATTATAGGATTAGGAACATTCCATCTCACCCTTTTGTAGCTTGCGTGATGCCCACGCACCTTAGTGGATATAGACACATGGCATGCCTTTATAATAAAGATAATTAAAACAAAACAAAAAGTTAATAAAGTTCTTCAACCCACCACTCATGTAAGCCTAAACTATTCCCGCTTTCTTCACCATCCTTCTATTTCCCCTAATCTGTGTGCTAATTAGACTCTAAGAGCTCATCAAAGCTTATGCCTTTTGTCATTGCAAAGCAAGCAAGAGGCCCTCCAATTGGCCATTGCCTATCTTTCTTTCCTTAATCCCATAAAGTCATTTCTGTCAGAGCTACATATAGTCACTTAAAGGATTTAGATCCCCACCACCACCACCACCACGAATATATATATATATATATATATAGAGAGAGAGAGAGAGAGAGAGAGAGAGAGAGAGAGAGAGAGAGAGAGAGAGCGCTCCTCAGCTCACCTTCCATGAAAAAACCCTAAAATTTTATCTCCTCACCATGACTAGTATAACTACAAGCGGTGTCACCCTAAACATCAAATCCTGCAGAACCAAGTTTGCTCATAGATTTGTTCGATCTCTCTTGCAAATCAGAAACCATGCTCGGCCCAGTTCATCGTCGTCTTCAGAGGAAAAACTGATCCAAAAGCGCAGGCAGAGAATAAAGATAGCAGCTTATTCATCCATGGCTCATGCTGTTGGGCCAAGGATGAACTGGAGCAGGGCTCTTCTCTTTAAGCTTCGAAACCGGGCCTGCAGGCACCGTAAGAAGAAAACGATTGTTGTGATCAGAAGAAAGACTAAAAAAGCCTCAAGATCATCACAGGGATCGGTTCCTGTGGATCAAGCAAAAAAGCTTCGGCGGCTCGTTCCGGGGGCCAAGTCCATGGATTTGTGCAGCTTGCTGGAGGAAACTGCTCACTACATAACATGCCTTTCCACGCAGATTAAGGTGATGCAGGCTTTAGCTGATCATCTTTCTAAATGAGAGGAATCAAAGAAGTGGAAGGAATGAAATTATTGATACATACAGATGATACAGGCGAGTGTTGTGTGGGCGGTAAGTATATATATATATATATATATATATATATATTATACAAAACACATGGATTATATATATAGTTTTGGTTTACTGCATATGCTCAAACTCCAACATATATGTGGTTATTTGAATTTAAAGAAGGATGATGTAAACTCTGACTTGAAATTAATGTACGGATTAAATATTTTGTATATACAATATTCAAACATCACATTTACATAAACTCTGACTTGTATAAAGTTAAAGCCAGAGGCTCTCATTTAAGTTAACATCTCTCTCTCTCTCTCTCTCTCTCTCTCTCTCTCTCTCTCTCTCTCTCTCTCATCCACTGCATGTGCTTGTCTATGGATTGTCTTCTGTGTGTGTTTCTTACATAATCGACGCAGGTCTCAATTATTATTGCGCATGCTCCCTACAGCACGCAGGTGAATATGAAGAGAGAGATATATATAAAGAATAATATGGAGATTAAGAGGGTGTTTGCTGCACGTTTCTTGCTACTATAATATGAACATCCACTTTTCTTCTATCTGTTAATTGGCTACCAACTTTGGGTTTCTTGCTACTATATGGTGTTTGGTTTTGATTTAATTATTCAATTTTACTAATTTACCCTTATTATAGTAGTTTATTTTATATTTTATTATACAATCAATATTGGGAAACAGTTTTCAAACATACAGGGGCGGAGGGAGCTAAAGGCCCGGGGGATCCTATTCCCCCTCTCAATTTTCTTCAGACCTTGGATTTCTTAACACAATTTACACATCTTTTATCAAACTTCAAAGTGCCTTTTATGTTTTTCTTCTCTCCCTTTTCCCCTATTATTACTACCGATACTCTTTTTTTTTTTTCTTATTTTGACTTTGATTGTAGTAATAAACTACCATTTGAATTTTGTTAGTGTATATATTTAACTAAGTGCATGCAATATCTCTTGCTAGTATTAATGATGAGTATATAATTAATGTGATATATAAAATAATATAATATAGTAATTAAATTTATGAATTTGTATCAAGTAAAAAATTAATTAAAATGTCACCAAAGAAAAATAAATTTCAATATATGAGGTGTCCCCTCAGTAAAAATTTTATGGCTCCGTCACTACTCACATACACTACCAAAGTGCGGATTTCAAACCTAAGATTATTGGTTTGAAAGTCACAGCCTTTTCTACTGGTAGGCCCATTGCCCCCTTATTACATTAGATTTATTTTCTCTTTAGCATATTAATTTCTACTTCCAACTAAGGATATTTGTTGATATTTTCTCATTGGATACGATTGTTTTTCATTAAATTTGGGTACCGTATTGAAATTTGATTTCGGTTATTTGATTAGCTAGTTTATCAATAAAAACTACCGCTTATTCTAAAAAAAGAGAAAGATAATATCAAAACATATTTAAGTGATTACGGTAAGTCAATTGCCTCTATATAAAATGGCATACTTCTCGGCAAAAGCTCTCTGTCCAAATGGTTCAAGGTGAGACCTCAGTGAGAAACTTCTTTGGATGGAAGTTCTTCTTGCTAAAATATGAAAACTATGAAAGAATATTTGTTTGTGGGAATTTTCTGTGTATTCTTCTCCTTGTAGGAGGTCATATTTATAATATAACGAAACCTGAATGGGCAAGTAAATAATAAATTCCTAAATCTATTTACAGTAGGAAATCAGGAATTAAAGTAAATCAATTACAATTATAATAGGAATTCTTGGTGTGTAAGGAAAGTAAGTCAATATCCACAAGTCACGCCAACACTCCCCCTCACGTTGGTGCATAGATGTCGCCAATGCCCAACTGATCTAGTGAATTGCGGAATGCTTTACTGGAAATCGCCTTTGTCAAAATATCAGCCAATTGATCCTCGAATTTCACAAAAAGAAATTGAAACACTTTAGCCTTAAGCTTTTGTTTGATGAAGTGTCGATCCACCTCAACATGTTTAGTACGATCATGCTGAACC